TCCCTACTTCCCCCCACACCTGTACAACAAGTTAGTTTAATCCAGGATGCTAAAGACACAGTGGCTGGGACGTTTACCAAATGTAATCAACCAAAGAACATGTCAACGTGAGTACAACAAAGGCATACCATGTATGTAACATACATGTTACTCCTTCCATGGAGTCAGCCTCAGGTGCCTTCTAAACACAGAGCCAGAGGCAGCCACTCCAGCCGAGTGGAGAGTGGGCTGTTTCAGAGGAAGATGTCCTTACCTGTGTGTTCATTATTCCAAACACCTGGCATGGCAACTGACCCTTCAGAAGTGCTCCAAAAATCAGTGCTAAATAGAATGAAATGCACACCTGATATGAAACTTCATTGCCACCCCCATTTCCCACAGAGCATGTCTCAAAATGTAGCAGAAAAGTCTGGGAGAAGCCCATCATCCTAGCGCCACCCCAGACTCAGTAAACCGGGTCTGTGAGATCAGCATTTTCAAAAGCTGCCAGGTAATCCCATGCATCTAGCCTTAACCTTCCGGGAGGACCTCATGGGACCAAACTGACGGGACGCAATTAAGCAAAAGGGTGCTTTTGGAGCAGCTAAATCAGAACAAAACAGAGGCAGGTGGCTTCCCTCCTCCCTCTAGGCCAGGGCCCAGGTGGAGCAGAGACCATACAACATCAGACGAAATTGAAGGGGCTGTGAGAAAGGTCTTGGATGGCAGTTTAGAGGTAACAAAACACGAACCTCTCCAGGCCAGTCCTCGTCGACTTCCCCTGATCGCAGTGTACCTGCCGCCTTACCAGGTCCTGGGCTGGGGAGCCTTACCGAGGCCCAGGGATGGAGGCGGAGGCTCCGCCCACGTTAGAACGCGGCCCGTAGACCAGGGGGGCGCCTTCATCTAGAACTCTCCGCAAGCCTGGCTTTTCTCCTCCCTGCTGCAGCGTGGCAGCCACAGTCAGCAGTGCCCTCCTTCATGCTGTGCCCCTTACTCCTGGGGTAGCCACCTGAGCAGGGTGGGGGCTGTCGTCAGCCAGACTTCATGCAATCATGCCAGGCTCCTGGCCCTACACCCAGAGAACTGCAAAAGCACCCCTCACCACCCTGTCTGCAACAGGGAACGCTGCTACGGCTGGCAGCTGTCACAGAGACATCAAACACGGATGTTTATGCCAAGCCTCAGTGACACAAGCCCACTTCTCCCCGAGAGATGAAGTTTACAAACAAACAGCGTTTACATATGTCAGCGGGCACAGTCACATCAGCGTCAGGGACCCCCAGATGGAAACGTGAGCCAGGCTGGGGCGAAGACTGCTAAACAGATTCTGCTTGGGTGAAATTCCTCTCTCTGGAGAAAGAGGAACCTCAAAGCACATTACTTCAATCCCCTGGCAAGAGTCTCTGCAGTCGTAGCTCTCCCCAGTGGAGTGTGCACAGTCCAAACATGTCAACTCCAAAATGACCATCATCACTCAGATGTGCATGTGCCTGTCACCCCATCCCTTCATGAGCTCTCTCAGTTGCCCCCTCTACACCTCGGCATCCTGATTCTGGAGTGCTGAACCATGTACACTCTGGTTCCATGTGGGGTGCCCGATAGCCCCACTCTGTTGGGCACAGGGTGCTCATAGTCACGCAAGAGTTCCTGACACCCAAGGTAACACTCTGGCAGCTAAAGAGAAAAATGGCACCAGGCCAACACATGGGTACCTGGGAAACGAGTGTATGTAACTTGCACAGACAGGTAACCTCAGAGACTCGGGCCACTGAGGACTCAGGGAAGGAGCCATAGGAGCCATGTGACTATTGAAGAAATGTCATATTTGAGAGCCTGAGTCAACTAGGCCATTGCCTCCTCTTTCCCATTTTGCTGTGGAGACTTGGTAAGTGGGAGGGATTCCACACTTAAAACAACATACCAGGGGACTTCTAAAAGTTTATGAAAAGAGGGAACTAAAGCATGAGTTTATTTTGGTGCAAAACAGTTTGGGAACCCTTGCATAGTTTTTTTTTCCCATGAACTTCTTTGTGTGTGTGTGTGTGTGTGTGTGGAGAGGTTTTTGCCATAGGGAGCGTGTGCTCACCAGACAGACAGAGAGACAGAAAGTGAGAAATCACCCCCCAGGGGGGATGGCCATGCCGCAATCCTTTCTCCATTCTCCTCTTGGGATCTCAGGCACGCACGCACATGCGTCTGGCATGAATTTTAAGCCACCGGGTCCAGGACTCGAACTGCGGTCGACTACGTGGGAGTCCAGTGACATAGCCATTATGCCAACCACTGGTCCCTCCCATGAACTTCTTGAAGACCACCCCCCATACATACATACACATACACACACACACACACACACACACACACACACACACAACACACACACAAGCTGCTTGCTTACAGGAGTAAGAAGATACAAATCCAAAGAGCTCATATAGGATGGGGTCAGGGCAGCAACTATGGCCTGCTGTGGTCTCAAGGTAGGCGTCTCCCAAAAACGCATATGCTGAAATCTAACCCCTAATGCAATAGTATTAAGAAGTGGGGCCTTTGAGAAGTGGTTAAGTGCCTTATAAAAAGAGGTTGAAGGGAATGACCTTGTCCCTCCTCCATGTGAGGGTACAAAGAAGCTGCATCTATGAGAAACAGGCCCTCACCAGATACTGAATCTGCAGCACCTTGATCTTGGACTTCCTAGCCTCCAGAACTGTGAGCAATAAATTTCTATTTATAACTAATAGTCTCAGTCTCAGTCTGAATGGACTAAGACATGATGTAAATCATCCATCCTAGTGATAACCGAAAGGTGTGATGAATGGATCTGGGAGGATCAGATCCCAATCCATACTCTACCTCTCTGGGCTACACTGCTGGGAGTAAGGTGAGACTTAAAAAGGGCTCTGCATGGTGCCCTGGAAAAGTGCAGGCCCTCTAAGAACACAAATCTTGGGTCCTGGGCAGTGAGGACTTTGAGTTGCCTTTGGGAAGTGGCTCTAGAGTGGTTACCATGGCCTTGGGGGGTCTCAAAAACACAGTCTGGAATTTCTAATTCATTACAGACCCCACCAGAGCATCAGTGGCTTGGCCTTCCCACATGCACAGGTGTCTGCAAACAATGTGGACATGGAGCCAAGTCCACAGGGTCTTGAGTGAGAGGCAAAGGGAGAGTTATCAGCTAGCTAAGCACTGGGGGCAGAGATGGGAGCTTACACATTTCCCTATGCTGAGGCAAAGCCCCTCGTCCACCATGGCCAGAAACAAACTCAAGAGAAAAAAGCCACAAACCGAGCCCGTTCTCTGCCAGTGCTGCATGGTTCACTTCACAATCACCCACATCCTGCTCTCCAACATGATCGTTCAAATCCAAGCCAGGCTGATGAGACCCGTTTCCAAAGTGCCTCTCGTCCTTCTCAGAGCCGGCGTCCCCATTTTCCATCCCATTCTGAGCCTTTTTCAGGGGCATTATTTGCAAACCGCTGGGGGTAGTCCTGTAAGACACCGTCTTGGCAGCTCGATCGCCCCCTGTAGGGGGCTTGCCTGAGTACCCCTTCTTCGGCTTAGATAGGGGAGGGTTGATGCGCTTCCGTTTATGGGAAGTCCCTTTGCTCTTCCCAGGTTCTGAAGGTCTATGGGCTAGTTTTTCACTCGCTGGGCTCCGGCTGTCACGTAGGAGCTTGGAGGTGTTAGACTGTTTCCCTGGCCTGATCCTCTTGTCCTTGGACACGTGCAGCCCATTGAACTCGTCGATAAACTCCTCACAGTGCAAGAGGTGGTGTTCTGGCTCCCACGTGTCCTCTGTGCTCCCATAGCCTTTCCACCGGATAAGATACTCCCATTTTCCTTTCTTATTCTTCCTCTTGTCTACAATCCTTTCAACCTAGGAAGTAAGATGAGAGTCAGAAAAAAGAAGAGAGGGAAAATAAAGTCAGTCTTTGGCAATGGAATAGCACAAAGCCTTTGGGGTAGAGGTGTACACTTTGGTCAGAAGCTGAGCCATTCGATGCCTGAGTCCACACTCCAGAAGTGTGCTAGAAGATTGGTCTATCTAAGGACACCACTGAATGGAACTGAAGGGGCATGCAGTCATGCCTGACACTGTGCCCAGCTGGTGGCATCCCCATGTCTATCCAGGCTTACTCTTTTTCAAAATCACATGGCAGCTTTTACAAGCTTTCTTTTCATTGCACCAAGGGAGACACAGACTTTCAAAGAAAAACTTGATATGGGTTTTTCATCCTTGATTATGATCATAATAATCTGTCAAGAAATTATATGGAAAACACTGTGCTAATTTATCTTTACTTGTAATAATACTAATGATTAATAATATTTGTTGGGCATTTAAAAGGGACTTTCCCATCCCTTTTTCTTCTGACAACAACTCAGTGAGGTAAGTATTTTTTTTTCCTACCCCCATTTTTCAGTGAGGGAACTGAGCTCAGAGAGATGAAGGAGCTCAACCAAGTTCCAATGCTGGTAAAGGTAGAGCTAGGATTTGAAAGACTCTCCCCTCACACCTAGTCTATTCATCACTAGGTCATACTAACATTCTCAACTGCAAAAGTCTTCCATATTGACCCAAAGAGAACTTAAATTGAAAAACTCAGTTCTCCCTATGCTGCTCCCCCAGCTATAGAACAGCAGCTCAGCTAGGAAGCAAGAGGCCAGGGAACACTTGCAGAGAGCCTGCTGTGTGCCTTGCACAACCCAGGGGTGTACACTACTGTTACTCCCATTTTATAGATGAAGAGGCTGAATGTGAGGCATCTTGCCTACTGTGAACAGCTAAGATATGGTGGAGATGGGATTTGAGCCTGTATATTTCTAGTTTAAAGCTACATGCTACTGTCTACATGTCCTTAATGGTATACCTCACTGTCTTCATGTAATCCCATAGGAAAACCACACATAGGACAATGCCAGTCCTAATGGTAATAATTGGTGTTATCTAAAAAGTATGTGAGGGTTCAGTTATTATACTTTCAACTCTGCTGCAGATTTGAAATTTTTATTTAAAAAAAAAAAAAGGAAAATTCTGTGCTCAACCCCCCCCAAGCTAAATTTCAATGAAAATTAAATAATTATATTCACAAGTTGATTACATATATTTTAAAGAGGTTTTTCTGTTTTGTTTTGCTACAGGGTGTTTGTGCTTGCCAGAGAGACAGAGAGACAAAAAGCAAGAAATCACCCCCACACACACACACAGGGAATAACCATGCCACAATCCCTTCACAATCCCTCCCATTCTCCTCTTGGGATCTTGGGCCCGCACACATATGCGCCCCGGGTGTTTTAAGCCACCGGGTCCGGGACTTGAAACGCGGTCAACTACATGGGAGTCCAGCAAGTAACCATTATACCATCTGCTGGTCCCAAGAAGGTGATTATATTTTAATGTCAGTATAATATAGTTTTATAGAACTACATGTTGACCCAATGAAATTAAGTTAAGAAGTGAGATACACGTTTTGAAACTTTTAGGAGGGATAAAATGGGCTCAGTTATAGCTGGTAAGTGTTAAATACAGGTAACAGATTCATGAGAGTTCATTATATGATGGTTTATGTTTACACATTTAAATTTTTACATGTTTAAAATTTTCATAATAGAAAGTAAAAAGTTTTGAAAAGTGGAATTGTCTCATCAATGATTTATGGACAACAGAAGTTATGCAAAATAATTAAATGACTATCACTGCTTTGCAATTAATAAATATGTAAATAGCTAGACCATACTGCCTCTTCATAAGATTGCCTCTTCACAGATAATTTTAATTGTTTCCTTAATTGATTTATCTCAACTCAAATAGGCCTATGTCTATTAAAATCTGTCTTTATAAAATGCCCTGTGTCTGTTTTAGATTTATTACATTATTTTCGAATGTATCACACAAACTCACTAATAGTTTTTAAAAAATGAAACCATGCCTAGCTAATTCAACCTCCAACCTTTGGGTCAAGGAAGGGGGCTAGCTGCGTATCCCTTTGTATTAAAGCTTCAGGAAGCCAAGAATGTTTCTAGAACAGCCTGCGGCACTGCACATTCTGAGGACTTTGTAGGTGGAATGCGGGTTTCAAGAGGGAGGAGAGTGAGTAAGGATCCCAGCACTGCCTGAAATAGTAGCATTTCTGAGGAAACCAACCTAGGAGTATGAGTAGCAAGTCCATATATTTCTTGGGAGCTAAGGGATACATACTGGCATGGGCCCTCCAGCTCTGGAGAACATGCGCTCAGCTCCCAGGATGGAGAGATTTATTTTCCAGGATAAGCAGAGGACTGTGTTAGACAAACAGCCAACGTTAAGAGTGGCTGGGTTGCATGGTTGAAGCAGGGAGTAGGGGCAGATAAATGGGTGGGTGGATGGATAGATGAATGAATGGATCAATGAGTGGGTGGGTAGATAAATAGGTAGGTGGGTGGGTGGATTGATGGATGAACGGGTGAGAAGATGGAAGTATATGTGAATGGATGGAGAGATGAATGATGGCTAAGAGGTTTGGTAGAGAGTGAGTTCATGAATCGATGAGCAGGTGGAAGTCACTTATCAGAATAAGTTAGTATAATATTTAAGAACACAGGTTTTGAGGCAAGACTATCTGGTTTAAATCCCCTGCTAAGCCTGTGTCCTATGTCCTTGAGCAAGTTAATAAACCTCTTTGGGCCTCAGATGACTCATACAGCAAGGGGGAAGTAACAACATTTACCTCATAGGGTGGTAGGGGGAATATACAAATATGTATTTTTGCATTCCACAGTAAAGGTCACAATCTTACATATGTTCATGTGACCATGAACCTTGATGGTGTCTAAAGACAGAATGTTTTCTCCACCCTGTAGAGTATGACCCCTTATGACAATCAATTCCTCTTTGGGAAGGAGAGAGTCTACCTACTTAGAAGATGGCTGTGCACATCAGGGCTTCTCAATAGGCCTGGGGTGGGGGAGCAGCAAGGGTGCAGGTCTAGATGGCTATTGGGGACCACATTGGAGGGCAGGGAGTGGTTTTATTCCAAGTTACTGGATGTTTCTGTTGCAGAGTCACAAGTTGCATTATTGAGGACAGAAAAGCCACAGCTTCTACCCCTGGTCCTACCCATAAAGCCCCTGGGAAGTTTGACAACCATTTCTCCTTAAATTTGTCCAATATCAAGATGAAAAATATCAACAGGATCATCCCTAATCAGCTGCTGGTGTTGGGGGGCGGTGCAGGACTGCTGGCTCTGCCAATTTCTACCCATGTGTCCCCTGGCCACTTCTCGGGCTGCAGCATCCCTCTGTAAAACAGATTTAATAATAAGAAGAAAAAGAACAAAACCTATCTGCAGGGTTGTTGAGAGAACAGAAAGGAATAAGATATAGGAAAAGCATTACAAAGAGAGACAGTTTTCTCTGAAATATGAAACTCCAGTTGACAAAGATGTTTTTATGTATGTTATATCATCCACAGTTTAAAGACAAATGAGGCTTTTTTTCAGGTTTAGAAAAACAATTGCTTTTTCTGAAAGACCAAAATGCCCACAAGGAGCTCAAAGGAAACCTGACTTCAAAATATCCCCATCATGCTTTGATTTCCATCATATTGGGGGACCTAATCTCCTTCTTTATAGCCCTGGGTAGATTTTTCTGATCCTTTTTCCTTCAGTAGAATCTCGAACAGAACCTGAATTCTAATTTGTTCAAATCATTTAGGACTTGATTTTGCATAGGACTGCAACATTCTCTGTCTGGGAAATCCTTTCTTCTTCTTAGGCTCCCCTAGACTAACTCCCCTGCCTCCTAACTCCTCACACCTGCTGAAAACAGAGACCTGTCTCCTGTGCACCACTCCCACCCACCTGTCCAAACTGTGTGCATTACCTGGAGCTCAGTCCTGCCAATGGAAGCAGTTCTTAATTCCTTTCCTTTGTACTTGCACATACTAACGGACACATGAATGAAACTAGAACATCATGCGCACATACTCCAGCAGCTTCTTTTTATAAAGATAAGTAACCTGAGACCCTGAACTATTCCTTAGAGTTCAACCAGATCATTAATTAACATTTATTCTCTTTGATTCCAGCTAATATGAAATGTTGTTCTACTGTAGGTGGGGGCAGGGAAACCCTGATGCAATTATTACAAGTGCCACAGTGAAATGTGGATGGCTGTCTCATTAGGATTAATAATGATGACGATCACCCTGACTGGTACATGCTAAATTCTAGGAACTGTGTTAATCACTTACAAGGTGTTAGGTTTCATCTCTATACCCAGTCTTTCAGCTGGGCTTTTCTGACCATTTGATAAGTGAGGAGAAGGCAAGTAAATGTCCTTCCATCACTCAAGAGGTGGTTGGCTAAGAAGTGTATCCATGCAGAAAATCATATTAGTGATGTAGATGTTTTTAGTAAACATACTAAAAAAGCTCTCCAAGAGTGTAGGAGAGAAGACAGAGATTTTAAAGAAAACATTAAGGAAAATGAGAACAGGCATCTCGGAGCATCAACAGTGATCCAACCAATGTAAATCTGAAATCCAGCAGAGAGAAAAAAATCAAAATGGGACCAGAACACTAACCATGGCATAACAGAAAGAATCTCTACATCCTGGGTCTACAGGTTAAATTTTTTTTTAATTTTAAAATAAATAAATAAATCTCAGTGATGGGGGACTGGGAAGATGAGAACACATCAACTTTATTTCTATCTTTGCAACAGTTTTTCATTTCAACCTCACATCTCAACCGTCTCTCTTCCAATATGGTGGGGGTAAAATTCAGGCCAACTTTAGAGAACATTAAATGCCAGAACACAAGTTAAAGAAATAAACACTATGAACTCAAGAATTCTATAACCAGCCAAGAGATCCTTCAGATGAGAAGGAGGAAGAGAA